TCTGATTAGTGCGCTGTGCCAAGGATGACTGAATGTATGGCTGGATTTTGACAAAAACCAAATCACCAACTTGAAACTGGCGTTCAGAACGGTGTTCATCTGTTTGCCGCTTCATGCGCTGCGTAGCGCGATTGAGATGCTGACGGATGACATCTGTCATAAGAGCTATGTCAGATAACCAGGATGCCAAGGCAGTGATTGGAGTATCAGGATCAATTGTGATGCCAAACTGCGGAGGAGAATAGCCATAAAGGACCTCAAAGGGCGAACGCCCCAGCACTAAATGCCAATTGGTATTATACCAAAGCTCTGCTTGATCCAGGTACCGACGCCACTACCGGGGACATGCATGAGCAAAGCAGTGAAGGAATGTCTCGGCACACTGATTAACTCGCTTTGTTTAGCCATCAGATTGCAGATGATATGCCGTACTCATCCTGAGTTCAACACCAGCTATCTTGAAAAGCTCCCGCCAAAAGTGGCTAGTGAAGATCTTATCCCGGTCCGAGACAATTGCTTGCGGCAGGCCATAAAGTTTATAGACATGAGACATGAATACCTGGGCAACCGATGCAGCACTGAAGGGGTGTTTGAGGGGTAGGAAGTGGGAATACTTAGAAAAGAGGTCTATCACCACGAAGATGCAATTGAACCCTTCGAAGTCGGCAATCCTTCGATGAAATCCATAGAGACCCTTCGCCCAAGCACGCCAAGTACCGCAACCTTAACGGTGAAGGAGGGCGAGCAACTTGGATCGATCGGGCTCCGCTTGGCGATAGACAACACAGTGAAACAAATGACTGTACTACTATTTTCATTCCATGCTAGGCGAATATCTCGCTTTAGACGTCGGTAGGTGACCGCAATCCCGTAATGACCACCGATGGTAGAGGCATGGACCTGCAGTGATGAGTTTGTTTTGCAATGCAGGATCCTACCCCACCTAGACATGGTGCTTGTAACGCAGCAGACCATCGCACAGAGTATAGTGAGGGACTGCCGAAGGCTGAGAAGAGAGCTTTGTGATCAATTCCTGTGAGTGTGCATCTTGAGCATAGGAAGCAATGACTTCATCTAACCATTGCGGCTGACACACAGACACAGCTGTGACTTGAACATTCAGGCAGCGAGACAAAGCATCGGTGGCACCATTATCTGATCCCTTACGATATACTATTTTGTACTGGAGGCCAACCAGTTTGGCAAACACCTTCTGCTGCCACGAGGTGTGAAGTCGTTGCTCGGTGAGTTGCACCAAACTACGGTGATCCGTGATGATTTGGAATTCAACATGTTGCATATAGCTACACCACTGTTCGAGAGCCAACATAATTGTCATATATTCTTTTTCATAAGTAGATAACCCCATTGAGCGCATACCTAGAGCCTTGCTGAGAAATGCCAAAGGATGGCCGTCTTGCATCAACACAGCTCCAATGCCTGTACCACTAGCATCTGTCTCCACCGAAAACGGTTTGCTGAAATCAGGAAGAGCGAGAACTAGGGCCGTAGTGAGTGCCTGCTTCAAAGCCTAAAACGCCTGCTCCTGAACATCTGTCCAGACATATATAGCCCCCTTGCGAAGCAACTCAGTCAATGGCCTAGATATGATGCCAAAGTTCTTGACAAAACGCCTGTAATACCCAGCCAACCCAAGAAAGCTCTGAAGCTCGGTAGCTGATTGTGGAGACGGCCACTGTATAATAGCCTGTATTTTCATCGGATCCGTGGCAACGCTGAAAGCTCTAGTTTGGTTTTGGTTAATTGATGAAACCCTAAGTGCTAACCTAGTTTATCAAAGTGATTATGAGATAGGTAGCACTACTCCAAGTGATGAAGCAATGGCGAAGATCATGACGATGGTGATGATCAAATGCTTGAGCTTGGAAAGAAGAAAGAGAAAAATAAAAGGCTCAAGGCAAAGGTATAAATAGTAGGAGCCATTTTGTTTCAGTGATCAAGACACTTAGCGAGTGTGATCACATTTAGGTTAGATAGCTGTACTATTAAGAGGGGTGAAACTCGTATTGAAATACCCTCTAACTCATTGCATATGCATTTAGGATCTAGTGGAGTGCTAACATCCTTGAAAATGCTTGTGAAATATGCTAACACATGTGCACAAGGTGATACACTTGGTGGTTGGCACATTTGAGCAAGAGTTAGAAACTTCACCGGTGGAGTGTCCGCCCGTAGAGTGCGAACAGCCCGACAGTGCCACCGGCGCCCTATACAGAAAAGACAGGGGTTCATAGAGTGACCGGACGCTGGTGGTGCAGTGATCGGACGCTGGGTTCAGAGTCCGGTCAGTGACAGCAGTAAGCACACGGTCTCGGTCTTGTGACCGGACACTGGCGTGTAAACTAATCAGACGCTCATGGTCTGAGTCCGGTCAGTGCTGATGTACGCTGACGTGAGGCGCACAGAGGAAACGTTGAGTGACCGGACGCCGGGTGAGTCCGGTCGAGCATGACCGAACGTGTCCAGTCGTGAAATTTCGCGTTTGGAACCTTACTGGAAACGACCGGACGCTGGGGTCCTGCGTCCGGTCACTTTCTAACTGACGCGTCTGGTCATCACTTGACCGTTGAGATCGGGCGATCGACGTTTGAAGCCGATGACACGTGGCAAGCATCGGGCGACCGGACGCTGGGGTCCTGCGTCCGGTCGAACTGACCGGAGCGTCCGGTCACCCCGTGTTGTGCCCAGTGAAGGGGTACAACGACTCTATTTCATGGGGGCTTCTATTTAAGCCCCATGGTTGGCTCAAGCTCATCCTCTTGGCCATTTGCATTGACATAGCAACCTTGTGAGCTTAGCCAAAACCCTCCCACTCATCTCCATCATTGTTTCATCATCATTGTGAGATTGGAAGAGAATCCAAGTGCATTGTTTGAGTGATTGCATCTAGAGGCACTTGGTGTTCGTGTTTTGCTGCGGGATTCACTTGTTGCTCTTGGTGGTTGCCACCACCTAGACGGCTTGGTGCAGCGGAGGAGGATTGGCACGAGTCGGTGATTGTTCGTGGCCATCTCCGGTGATTGTGAGGGGATTTGTACCTTCCCGGCGGAGCGTAGAAAGGTAACTCTAGTGGATTGCTCATGTCATTGAGTTACCTCACTTGTGGGTAGGTTCTTACGGTGTCCAAATTGTGTGGACGAGGTTTATGCAACACCTCTTAGCCGTCGAACCACCAAGTGTTGGTCGACACAATGGGGACGTAGCGTGTTGGCAAGCACGTGAACCTCGGGAGAAAATTGGTTGTCTCTTGCCATTTGGTATTCTCCCGGTGATTGATTTAATATTCACCTTGTGATTGGTTCACTCCTCTACACGGCGGTATAATCACCCTACTCACTCATTTATATTCTTGCAAACTAGTTGTGGCAAGCTCTTTAGTGTAATTAGAATTGAGAGCTTGCTTTGTTATTTTAAGTTCATCTAGTGGAGCTCTTTAGAGTAGCAAGATTGAGAGCTCTTAGTGAGTAGTAACATTGCAAGTTGTGTGTCTAGTAATCATTGCAACTAGAATTATTGGATAGGTGGCTTGCAACTCTTGTAGAGCTAGAGCAAGTTTGTATTTCGCTATTTGTCATACTAATCAAATTGCTTTAGTTGATTTGTAGATTTTTAAATAGACTATTCACCCCCCCTCTAGCCATATTAGGACCTTTCAAACGCCTGCTTCAGAGATCACATGCCCGAGATAACGAAGCTGTCACTGCGCAAAGACACATTTAGACATTTTAACTTGCCAATTATCCTTTTGCAATAGCTGTAGCACAAGGCGAATATGCTCCAAATGCTCTTCATATGTTCGACTAAAAATGAGTATGTCGTCGAAAAAGACCAATACACACTTGTGCAGTAGGGGCCGAAGGGTCGTATTCATGGCTCTGAGAAATGTTGCTGGTGCACCAGTAAGCCCAAACGCCATTACTCTGAATTCATACTGGCCTGAATGGGTTTGAAAGGCGGTCTTAAACTCCTCGATTGATTGCAGACGAATTTGGTGATAACCGACAGTAAGATCAAGACATGAGAACCAGGAGGCATTAGTTAGTTCATCTAACGGTTCTTCAATAACAGGAACCGGGTATTTGACCTTGGCAGTAATAGCATTAAGGAGCCGAAAGTCCACATAGAAACAAAAGGTGTCATCCTTCTTCTTGACAAGCAAAACTGACGAAGAAAAAGGACTAGAACTGTGTTGGATGATATTTGATTGCAACATTTCTGCAATTTGCTACTCTATCTCGTCTTTGATTGCTGGAGGATAACGATAAGGCCGAACTGAGTATGGACCAGCTCCAGGCAGTAAAGGAATTGCATGATCACAATCTCTGGCTGGGGGATACCCAGTGGGTAGAGCAAACACCGATTGAAATTCTATTAACAGAGTAGAAACCTCAGGCGGCAATGGACCCTGACGGTCTATAGTGTCATCCGGCAAAATGGCTGATACTTGCACAACAGAGCCTGCCGGCAGGGCTGTCAATGATCCTTGTAACAAATGCTGACCCTAACCCTGTGATATGAGTTGCCACTTATGTTGCCAATCTATTTGCATAGGACTATAAGAAGCAAGCCAATCCATGCCCACAATCAATTCATATGATGACAGCGGTAGCACCTTAGCCACTGAAACAAATTCACAGTCCTGAATTGACCAAGTGAGCTTCTAGAACTCTGTGGAACAAAGTAATTAGGAACCGTTTGCCACTGTGACCTTGAGAGGTGGAGAGAAAGATGATATACCCTCCAACTTAGCAGCCAGTGATTCACTGATAGAGGTGTGACTACTGCCTGAATCAATCAAAATCCGAGCAGGATGTCCCTAAATCACCCCCCATGAACTGAATAGAGTTAACTGACAATGGCCCCCTAGATGCTGCCATAGAAATAGCTAGACACAATTGAGCATCATCGGTGCTTTCTTCATGACAGGCATCATCACAGTCCTCCTGACAATCTTCAGCAAAGCAAACTTCCCACAGTTCCTACAAAGCGTGCAGTTGTATAGCTTTAGGACATCTATGGTCACGTGACCATTTCTCACCACACCGGACGCAGAGCCCATGCACGCGCCGGTAGTCACGCAGGGTGGAGAGCTTGTCGTCCACGCCGTGCCCACGCCGTTCAGGCCCCGAGTTCGGGTTCATAGGCCTGTCCGGCCGCTCCTGCCGTGGTTGAGGGTGCGGTAGCGGCATCGGTCCACGCACCGGAGCCCTGGCGAAGGTGAATGGCTTAGGTCGTCGTAGTTCCTTCTTACGAGTCAGATCCACCAATTCCTCCTGCAACAGAGCAAGTACATAGGCAGTATCCAGATTGTTGGGATGCTGTATATGCATAGCAGCACGAATGTCGGCACGCAAGCCATCAACAAAACGCATGCCATAGTAAATTGGATCAGTGTTACGCCCATAAGCTACTAGCTGATCTACCAAGCCTATGAACTTGTCAATATACTCCTGAACAGACCCTGATTGGTGGATATGAAACAAATGGCGAATAAGAAGCTCGTGCTGATCCTTGCCAAAGCAGTTCATAACTAGCTGGCAAAATTGCTCCCAACTACCCACGCGGACCTGATCCTCAACGGACTGCAGCCAGCAAGCGGCGGTCCCTGACAGATGCATGGTGGAAGCCTTGATCCAACGACGGTGGGGCACAAAATACATCTCAAAGTAATCTAAGCATCGCCCGAGCCACAGCTTAGGATTAGAACCATCAAAGGGAGGGAAATTGATTTTAGGCAGATGATGATTTCCCCCACCCTCATCCTCATAGCAGCGGTGATCATGGGAACCTTCCACCTCACCCGAACCACCCTGAGTGCCCGCCAGAGTAGCAGAACTGGAGAACGATAGATGCAAATTAGGCTTGTGGTCGGGATTGGGCGGGATGAACCCTTGACCGGGGATCGAGTTGCGAACTCTAATCCCCGATGGCTTGATTCCTCATGGTGCCCTAACGGGCTGAATTTGGTCCAGCCGGCGGGAACCGATGCCACGGACACCTTGGGCGGCGGAAGGACGCCGGTCGGCATGGCCGGGGCGGCATCGAGGACGGATTAGCTCATGGACTTGTGCAGCGCGGTCATCTCCTCGAGCAGCGCTTTGACCTTCTCGTCCGTCTTCCGGATCGCGCCCACCTCAGAGCGCAGCTCCTCCATGGTCGCGTCCATCTTCGGCTTCCATGCGTCGAACACCTTGGTGGCGTCCTCCAGAGAACCAACACGCGCACCAATGGAGGTCTCCTCCGCGACGATGCGGTTGGTGAGGTTCATCTGAACGGACTTGAGCTCGTCGAGGATGAGCTTGGTGTTGGGATCCATGGCGCCTAGCTGCTTGCGAAGCGGGTGAAGTGTTCGTGATCGATTTGGTGAGGCTCCAGGGTGGAATCGGACTCCGGCGATCGTTCTTTCACCGATCAGATCAACCTCGGCGCGGACCTACGGGTTCACACGCTCACTGCAGAGGCAGCAAGCGACGATCAACCAGCCATCGGGGATTACGATCCCAGATCAAAGTGAAGGAACAGCGAGATCGGCCAAGGAATCGCGAGCTCCGAATACCAATTTGTTACAAACCGAGGTAACGATACAGAGTTTGGGGAAGGTAGAGTTGGGGATCGGAATATAGGCAGGAAAAGCAGAGCACAAGGTTGGGATCAGATGAGTTCTTGCAGGAGAAGGCAAGAGTTGTCATGGATGCCTCTCTCTCTCTCTCACGCCTATTACATATACGTAGACTACTCGGAGCCCGTGGGTCACGCCACGATGTTGAACCGGTTGATCACGCCGCGACCTAGTCCTTGCCTGACACACGCTTGCTCTGCGTTCTCGCCCTGGTGGACCTCCTTGTTGGCTGCGGCCCAGGCCCAGGCCCAGGCATAACTCCGTCGTCTTCAGTTGTTGGACGCTGAACAGTAGGTGCTGTACACAGTGTCCATGATCGACGACCCGATTCTGCGGTAGAAAATGCAAGGCCCCTTGCACTGTCGCCTTCAACGACCTGCCTTAAGGTCCTTGCACGGTTTTTTACATGAAGGATTGGATCGATGGTGCGATGAAAAGTTGAAAAGACATGGATGATGTTGGTATGAAACTTTACCACGGTCCCGTTACAAGCTGAAACGTCCACAAACTAAGCGCGCCTTTGTTGCGTTGCTAGTATACCTCAAAGGACAAAGGCCATAGGGAAAGCAACCATACAGCCTCCGTTAGCACGGCAGCCGGTGTACTGCTTCGCCATTCAAACGAAAGTTGGTGTGGCAGCAACGAATAGACGGAAAGGGCAGAAAATCTTGGCGGAGAGAATCAGAGAAGAGGTTGGTTTCGTGCGTGCACCGTGGAATGAAAAGCTCAAAAGCGGTGGCCATATCATTGGAGGAAGTAGGATAAGGTTGTTGCCAGAGCAGAGACGGATAACATAAGATACGGTCACTGTCCAGTGATGTACGGAGCATCGACGCCCATACAAACACCTCTTGCTCTTTTTATAATTTCTTCTTCAGATCAAGAGCTTGCCGCCTAAAGACTGGGGCTGCATGGACTGAGGAATGCTCGCTGCCCGGCTGGGGTTTCAGAAATTCAGAGTTGGGGAGAGCTAGCAGCTTGTTCGCTTGATCGTATACGATCGTGGATTATAAGCTGGAACAGTATTTTTCTCTCACACCAAATCAGCCAGCAGTAAATAATCCACGATTATTTACGACGAAACGAACAGGCTGGTCAGATGATTGGAGCTCGCGTCTCGCGTTTGCTGTGGCTCCCGATGGAGTGCAGTAACTCAGATCGACAGCTACCTGCACGCTCTATCTGATCATCTGTGAGGCAGCAGCAATGATCTCTTCTTGACTTCTTCTCATGGACCATCCTCTATAGTAACCTGCGTCGTGGTAGGGTGCTGGCCACTTGAGCGCGAGCGTGCCGTTTCTTTCGACACCAAACGCGCCCGATTTGCCCCGTCCTGGCGTCCTGCCGGCTGCATGCCGCAGCCACTCTGCCACTGTATTCCAATAGCATCTTGACTGCGACAGAGGTGGTGCAACGTCTCCGTCCCATCCGCTCGGCGCTCGCATTGGGCACTGTTTCGTTGCCCCCCATTCGCCATTTGGCATGCTCAACGCCAGTGAAATGCTTCGTCAGGCATCAGCGATTGGTAGCAAGTTACTAGCAACTGCTTTTAGGTAAAGACTAAACTGCTAAAGAGTGATCATCGACAGCGCAATAGAAATGCATCGGCTCCGCCTTTGGATCTTTTCCTTTCAGTTTGGTTTGGTACCTACTTCCTCTTCTTATTAATCAGCCATTAGCATTGCACAATTGTGCTGTTAACAGGTCCATTTTCATTTCATTGGCACTGTGTGCCATCGCATGGGTCCTGTTTCAGGGAGACTGGGAGTACAATGGTTAAGCCGAAAAAGAACCACAAATTTAAGACAGCACTTCAATGGGGTTTCAGGGAGACGTGGAAATGAGAACCTGAGCACAAAAGGCACGCGGACGCAGAACATGGAGGGGTTAACCGCAAGCGAGTAAAAAACTCGATCAGAAATGGCCTCCCGTGGATAATGTTTAGGCCGTACAGCCATGTTAGTTTCACTTAAATTTGGCTTATGCTGATTTGCTGTGAGAGAAAAATATTGTTTGTTCGCTAAAAAGTACTGCTGAAGTAGTTCAAGCGAACAGGGCACAGAGATCTCAACTTTCTATTTCATATGTTGTCCGACAAAATTGGTAACTGCTATCTCTCATGTGCCTGTAATTTCATTTTCCATCGCACGATACTAGCAACTCCAAAAGACTCTTTATATCATTCATATTCCATCGCACAAATAGAGATTTTGATGAAAAAAATACTCTCCAACAACTTCATTAAATTAATCTTCAAATATAGACACATCTATTCTAGATTTCTGGCTAGTCAAAGGTATAACGCGAGAATGACTCTCTAGAGTTCGTATATACTTAAATTCTTAACATTATAGTCGTTCTATTGCGGGTCACTCTACTAGTTCATCGCAAATGTGCAGCATCACGAGTCATGGCTCCAGAGTCCAGAGTTTATAGGCAACAGAGTTCAGGGCCTGATCACTTGAACTTATCAGCCGGCTTATCAGCTAAAATCTATAGTATTTTTTCTCTCACAATCAAAATAGTTTCAGCCGGCTTATCAGCCGAATTTAATATCAGCCGAATAGGACTGCAGAAAACCAATCAATACCTTGCAGATTACGGCGTTGATGAGGACCAACAGCTTCTGCAACTAGGACTCTGCAGCCTTTCTGGAGCTAATGGATTGCATTAGCAAATCTGAATGTGTGCACCTGCAGCTTTAGACCTGCATTCTTAGGTTACCTTTTTTTTTTTACAGAACCACCGTTTTAGGTAGGTGGGACGCACTGTTCAACGATAACCACACATGCAAAGCAAAGCCAGGGGAGCAAATGGGATCCTGGAGAAGAGGAATCCCTTTATCTGGCCAAGTCCCCTGACGCAGCCGTGCTCGCCGTGGCCGGTCTGAATCAGATGCTGTGCGGGGCGTTCATTCATATATAACGGTGGCCAGAGCATAAGTGCTGCCCCCCTCAGCTAGCTGGGCTTCGGCCCAAACAACAGAGCCGCGTCCACTCAAAAAAAAAACTGTACAACAGAGCAGCTGTATTTTGGTTCTGGCACGATTACTCGATACTTTGGTGTCGGGACTGCATTTTTGACGCGAGAAAGGAAAGGGCGGGCGCCGGGATCGGACAGCTGCTGCTGTGGTGCTCTCGATCAGTAAGCAGGTGGACTTCTGCACTTACGTCATCCCTTGCTGTGACGTGTTGTTCTAATTTGATTTTTTCCTCCCTCACTGGGTTTTGCTGGAATTGATAGATTGAAGGAGATCTGATATGGAAGCTTAAAGAGAACATCAACTTGCTTGAATGAAAACAAAATTTGCATATTTAACATGGAAGAAAATAGGTGTGTAACGCCATGATTGTTTTTTTGTGGTCCAACTAATTTAGGGATAGATTGTAGTTGTTCAGTTCGCCGCCTAATATCATGTCATCTTTATCTGTTTTCTTGTAGGGAGGGCTTGGCTTTCTAATCTTTTACCTTAAGTTGGCATAGAGTTCAGTATTATAGATGAGGCTTGGATATTTTGGATTAGCTATGGGGGTCACAAAGGCTTTGAGGTGAGGAAAATGTACACAAACAAAAGAAAGTTAGATGGAAATGTTAGTTCCTGCAGATTTGTTTGTGCAAATGGGGGTCAAAGAAAGCCAGATAAAAGAGATTATCTAACAAAGTGTTCAAGAGATGAAACTAGGACCAACTTTCAAGTTCGCATGGGACTTATAATGGACAAGAATAAGGGAAATTATAAAGTGACCGATCTATTTTTGGAACACAATCATACCCTTCAGCTGCCACAAACCTCACACTTGATGGTGTCCCAAAGAAAAATTTCAGAGTTACAAGGTTTTGAAATTGAGACGGTGACGATGCTGGAATTGGGCCCAAAGCTGCTCATGAGTTGGCTTGCATCCAAGTTGGTGGTTCAGTTAATCTCAGTTATACACTTCAGGACCACAAGAACTATTTACGGGGCAAGCGGCAACGGGAGATGGCATATGGTCAAGTAGGAAGCATGCTTATGTATTTTTCGGAAAAATTGTCGAGAACCCATCATTTCAAAAAATGGGTTGAATGTTATATGAAGGATGTGTGCATCTTAGGGATGAGAAGTACACAACTCAGTGAGAGTCTAAATAGTGACCTAAAGCGACATTTCAAATCTGATTTTGATATAATCCGATTTCTTAAGCATTTTAAAAGGGTCGTGGAATATAAAAGAAAGAACTACAATCTAAATTTGAATCAAGAAAAAAATTACCTAGAATCAAAATAAGGACACCTATGTTAATTCAAGCAAGCAAGTTGTACACACAACCTATTTTTGAAGCTTTTCAAGGTGAGTATGAGAGGTCAATGGTAGCTTGCACCACAACATTAGAATGTGCAAATGAATATCTTGTAACAATTGGGAGTCTTGATGAAAATTTTACCTTCGAGGAGTACAAAGTTATTGGTGATCCTTTAAAGCAAACCAGTACATGTAGTTGTGAGCAATTTAATAGAATCGGAATACTATGTGGCCATGCTCTAAAAGTTCTTGACTTGATGAATATCAAAACACTTCCCACACAATATGTACCGAAGAAATGGACATGGGAAGCACGCAGTGGAACAGTATAGGACAACCAAGGCTGAGACATAATAGAAAATCCAAAATTAGATGATATGCTTCGCTATAAAGATATGACTTGCAAATTTCTCTATTTGGCACATCGAGCTGCCAGCCATCCAAAGTGCACCTTATTAGTAAACAATGCACTTAGCATTCTCAGCAAGCAAGTTGAAGAAGAAATCAATGGTGTTGCAAGTCCTATGGATCATGTCATCACTCCCACCAATGTTTCTCTGCCCATTGAATTGTTGAGTTCAGCAAGCCTAAAGAAAAAGGAGGTGGAAAAAAAAAGCTCGAAGCGCAAAAGAACTTGGCTTGACAAGAAGCGAAAGTTTACAAAAAAGGAAGGCAACACAAAAGAAAAAAGTTCAAAGGCGTGTGACAAGAAAAAAGAAAAAAGTTCTAAAGTCCGTGATAAGAAAAAAGAAAAATGTTCCAAAGGTATGCAACAACACAAAACATATCAGATTCTCTCTAGTTGTATCCACTGCAAAAAAAATCAATTGTATTTAACTATTTGATTCTCTTTTATCCGAAGGAGCAAGAACTATACAAGTGACGGTCGATGATGGCGCAACAGTACAAATGTCATCTTTGCCTGAGGAAGGGATTTCTGAACAATACATGGCAATTTATTCCTTCTCTCAACCATTGACGGTAATATTTTAAAGTACTAAACCTTTTCTCTGAACCATACATGGCTATGATGTTGAATGATTGATTTTTTTATTTTGTAGGGATCAATGACAGATGATGTTATTGGTGAATTCTAGTAGTACAGATCATCCATAGAATATATGGCTCACCAACAGCAATGCCATCATGTTCATATAGTTTCTGGTTTCGTAGTTTAAGTGTAATGTTCAGCAGTTTGCTAGTAGAGCAGCTTTTGTGACAATGTTGTTTCAGGTTGGATGACAAAAACATATAACCAGCAACAACTTTTGTGCATTGCATTGACAAATGCATTCTAGAACATTTATGTATAAACCAATGTCATCTTACAATGAGTGCCAATTCCTATTGGGTGATAATTTACATTTTGCTAACATTTACAACATGATAGCACCTGAAAGATTTACAGAACATAACACCTTGAAGCACATTTTACACTAATAAGCATCTTCCTGAGTCCTGACCACCACGTGCGTACATTTTACTGAACAGAACGCCGCGCCGATCTGGTGACGAGAGGTCGGGAGCGTCGCGCCACTCCGGTGACGCACCTGGTGAGGATGGAGCCACTGCGCCGATCTAGAGACTGCAACGGCGTCAGAGGAACGACGGCCGGCACCAACGGCGCATGCGCCGCGCCTGGCGAAGACGGCAGCGCCCGCTCCGGTGTGGCGCCAGAAGAGGACGGGAGCACTGGGGCGCTTCGCTGACATGCTTGACGATGGAGGAGCCGCGCCGCCTTCCGGGAAGGAGCGACGACGGCGGAATCGGAGGCTGGAGTCGCGAGGAGATAAGAATAGTGCGGGATGGGCCGGTTGGAGGCCTATTTGATTGGTTTTCTGGAGTTCGCGCTTGATCTAGAATCAACGGCTTGGATCAGCAACTGCAGAGACAAGTTGTATTTGTCAACTGCAGACGATCTCATTCCGGCCGGTCTGGCCCTGTCTGCTTCCTTTGCAGTCTGCACTAGCACGGCTTGTTCCGTCCTAAAATAAGTGATGCTTTTTTTACTTTTATAAACTTTTTGTGTGACTGTTTATCTTATTTGTTTTTTTACAAATAATAAAATAAATAAGTTATTATTAAAGTATCTCTAATAATAGAATAAGTGATAATAAAATAAATAATATTTATATAGAAAATTTGAATAAGACGAATGGTCATACAAGAAGTTTAGAAGTAAAAAAATTCACTTATTTTGGTACGGAGGAGTTTGCTCGAACGCGAGTGGGACGCCATGGCATGCAATGCCTCGTGACTCGTTCTGCACACGTCCATTGCCCGTCGGTTCCTTGCTTGATTGGGATCGCGATTTGCCGTTATCTTTTTCGTCGAAATTCTTCAGATATTGCAAGTGGGTTATACAAAAAACCGGCCATGCCTTAACACTGGACTTTATCTTACAGGTTGGTTAGAAGGTGAACTTTGGTCCCTATCAAAAATGTTGGCCGTCCTGCAGCATTCCGCTGCCGTTCGGTTCAGCGCTCAACCCTGCTGTAGTCCGGCCTCTGTACAAGAGTTTTATACCCAACCAATTCGTATTACAGAGGCAAAACAGTTTGCCAGAATAACATCGAATTAGACAGAGAAAATATTAGCATCGAGGAAAACCTGTTATATTTGGTTACGAGTGACCACAAATCGACAATCTTGATCCGACTTGATCCGGGCGTTAGAGTTTCTAGATTCAGAGACAGCAACAAGTGCAGGAAACTGTCGTCAACCGCTTACCTGTACTGGCTGGTTGCGACCGTTGGATCTGCTGCGAAGTGCCAACCAAGCACACGCCCATACCGTGCACGCCAAGAACACGGAGACCATAAGTTGACCTCACCAAACGAGCCACGGTAGTCATAGTCAAGGCTCAAGACGAAGAAGGCCTGATGGGCAGCCAAAACCTCCGGTTTGAGCTCATAGACTCTCCTTTGTTTAGGATCATCATGCCTGAGTGGCTGTATCCCGGGACACAGGGTTGAACTCTGGACAAAGGTGAAACGCCCCCACTGGCAAAAGATGCTGGAAATTAAATAGTTTTTGCATTCGGAGGTAGGCCGTCTCCGGCGATTCCCGGAACCCACCAATAATTTGTGAACACACGATCACCCATAGGTTACCAAGTGTTACGACACCGCAAGAAACAGTGATTCCCGCGTCGCTTTCTCCCATTTCCACCACCCCGTCTCACCGTCCAACACACAACGAGGACGACGACGACGACGACGACGACGCACGCACGCAGCCTCACAAGCTGATTCATCGACTTGTTTACCTCCTGCTCGCCCTATAAATAACCAAAGCCTCCATGTCCCGTCCACACACGCCGTTCCCAACCGAGAACACACACAGCAGCAGCATCCAACAGCAACCACCTGCCGTTCAATGCGTGCGATGAAGCTGTATGTTCCGGCGAGGCAGAGCAGCGCCCAGGATGCAGAGCAGAACGGCAAGGCAGTGGCCGTGGGCGTCCTCGGCATTGGGCCGTGGAGCCACCCGAAGCTCCCTCTCCCCGGCCGCGACGCGCGGGCCGACGCCGACGCCGACGCCAACGCCCTGGTGCCGCCGCTCAACTTCGCCATGGTCGACGACGGCATCTTCCGCTCGGGCCTCCCGGACGCCGCCAACTTCCGCTTCCTGCTCTCCCTCAACCTGCGCTCCATCGTGTAAGAAAGAGCTCGCTCGACCCCTTCCGCTTCCGCTCTGGCCTCTGGCGAGTGTCTGGCGACCTTGACCCGCGACAGCGTCGTCGTTGATTGCGTGATCGATCAGGTACCTGTGCCCGGAGCCGTACCCGGAGGAGAACGCGCGGTTCCTGCAGCAGAACGAGATCCAGCTTCACCAGTTCGGCATCGAAGGGAGCAAGGTACCATCCACACAGAGGCCGTCTCAATCGTGCATCTGCTGAAATCTTTGATTTGTGCACCGCGTCCGCGGATGGCAAAACGATCTTTGCCTCTAGTTATTTTTCTGGTTCTGGTCGGTTTTGGTGCGCTCTGCATGTGGCACCGTCGCTTTCAGAGTCTCAGCAACACAACATTTGGTAGAAGTATCGTGCTAGCGTAACTGTGGGCGAACAGTGTCCCTTTCAGTCTCGGCACTGTTCTGATGAGTGGTGATAAACTATAGGCTCATCTCTTCAACCCTGCAAATATTGGTTGCCTAACAAAACTAGTAAGTATATTTCCTTCATGAATCGTGCATTTCCCTGCACGCCTACTACATCACATCAGTGCTCTCCTCACAAGTGGCAACTGGCTCCTGCATGAATACAAGTAGCACTCCATTGCAAGACCGAGATGTTTGTTTGGTTTTGCAGCTGTGGGATCCCATGTTGGAAAAAACAACTTTCGCCATTGCCATGAGCAAGAGCAAAACTATTCATTTCCTTATCCTGCATCCTGGGGTTGTGGTTTTCTTTTTAAGTGTGCCGCTGTTTAGGGACTTTGCTTGTCACCGAAACAGATGGCAGTTTCAGCATCACTGGTTTCAGATTTAAGAGATTCTCCTATGCATTATGTCCATTTTGTGGAAATGATTTTTATAGTGATTTTAGTTGGTAAAGATTATCACGTGCTGTTTGACCAATGCTGACATGCTGTTTACGTATAGTAAATTTTGTTGTGATGACGGGGATTCCAGTAAGCACGAAGATAGACCAGATGTTCTCATCATGTAACTGTAGCCCTGCATTCTGTGTGCAATCCCCACTCCCACATAGTTCTAGGCTTTCGATGAAACATGTGTGTGCCATATGTTGGAACTGATTCCTGAACACAGTACCTAGCTGCACCAGAACCTGTTGATACTTATAAAAAGCTGCACAAAAATCTTCATCTCAAGAGAACTTAAACCTGAGTGGTTGGGTGCATGATCACCATGGGCTGATCTACAGGGTATGCCCGGTATGCCATGGCATACCCTGCAGCCCAGCGTAGTACTCCATCTGTATAAAACTGGAAAAATCACGATGTTTCGCGTGCCTCCCAAATCTCAAGTGCCGCGCCGCTTCGCCAGCAGCTTGCCTCGCGAGTTGCGATCCCAAGCGGCAGGCACCGCGCTGTTTCGCTTCCCTGATGCAGAGGCGACGCCGCTCGTCCACTCACACGTAGTACACGCAGACTTGCCAAAGCCTTGATCAGCTGGTGGCGACGGAGATCTCATTTCTGAACTATAAACACCGCAAACAAAATGACGATCTCGTCTAACTTTGTCCTGTAGCTTATATGGTACGGAGTATTATATTTCTAGAAGCTTATTATATGATACGTAGTATTATATTTTCTAGAAGCCTTGTTATTTCCTCGGCATCAGGTAGCAAGCTAGGGAGCCTTTGTGAGCAGCATTCAAGGTGACAGAAATATATCCTTCCTTTATTCCTATATTGCAGCTAGGGAGCCTTGTTGCCGAGGAATAAATTATCCTTCCTTTATTCCTTTATTGCAGACTGTTGATTGAATGGTTGCTACTCATGTCACTAAGAAATAAAGATTCGATTCATATCTGCAATAAAGGAGGGATAATTTATACAAATTGTTAAACGTAAGAATTATTATGCAAGTTTTCACTTGAATACCGACTTGCGAGACAAATTTTATGTTTTTTTTTTCCCGAAATTCTAAATGGATTTTACCGTATTATACATAATTTTTTTGACGTGGCATACCCTGTAACAAAATCCTAGATCCACCACTTGATCACAGCTCCCACCTAACCACTTGATCTAGCTTCGCTTCCTTGCATCAGATTCAGAGGGCACCAGAATCTGCTGTAGCTGAAATGTTTTTGACAGAACCATCTTTCAGTTGACTTAGATAGTTACATTACATCAATCTGTCCAGATTTTCAGAGTTCTAGTGCCAGTGTGCTCGGGTAGTATTGTTGTATAATCGTGGCAAGGTTAACTCAAATCATAACATGTTGCACATTGAATTCTTGTTCATGAAGCTAGGAGCCTAGGACTAGCTAGTGGTATGGTCAAGCTTGGACAGCCGTGGCGAATTAAGCGTTCACTGGCAGTTGTTTCAGTCTGTTATTAACAATGCTTATTTGTTAACCGATTTTGGCATTCATGGAAAGGCATCATTCAGTGGCCACACATTAAGGTGGTTGACATTGCAAGACCCAGTGTGAAGAAAAACTGATCTCTTGTAAAGTTGCTTCTTTTCTACTACAAGTACAATGTCACTAGGCATGTCGTGTGAAACCAAACCAGTGGTGTCTCCCACTGATAATTTCTCCCACTGATAATTCTGTCAGCATTACTCAACTAGAAAACTCCAGATGGTTGCTATAATATCATCCCTCTTTTAAGTCGTTGACCATCCAACTGATAATGTAGTCTTGTTCGGTTGTGTGACGAAATCTTGCAACTGAACTTTCATGCAAGGTACATCTGTCTGCGTATGTTTCTGAAAATAGTTGCTGGGTTTAACCGGCTTATTTCCTCCTGTTTTTTTTTCTAAAGATCTTTTTATTTCCCATATTATGATTGCATGAACAATGTCTGGAGCTTACTAATCCTTCCCTATTATCCACAGAGTGGTCCGACAGTGCCGGATACCATGTTGGCGCAGGAACCATTCGTCTACATCCCTGAAGAAACGATCAGAGAGGCGCTCAAAGTTATTCTTGGTACCGACAATCACTGATATACTTACAATTCTTCTTTATGCCACAGAATTGCAACTTTCATCACCTGACATCTCTAACTCTTCTCCTGTTTCAATCTATTCAGACGTAAGAAACCAGCCGGTGCTCATCCACTGCAAGAGAGGCAAAGTAAGCCTCTTGCATTCGAGTTGGTTCAGTTCAGCATTTTGCTTCCACGATACTACGATAGCATTTGATTTCCCTGACGTTGACGCGACGAGTATTTTCTTTCAGCACCGGACTGGCTGCGTCGTCGGATGCCTGAGGAAGCTGCAGAAGTGGTGTCTGTCTTCGGTGTTCGACGAGTACCTGCACTTCGCGGCGGCGAAGGCAAGGAGCACTGACAAGAGGTTCATGGAGCTGTTCGACGCGTCGAGCTTGATGCACCTGACGGCCTCACAGTATTGAGAACTGACCAAAGTGAGTGGTTTCCAAGCGGTCCCGATCCTGCAACCATGCTGCATCAAGCAAAGCTATTTTCCCCTGTTGTTCCCGAAGCAACTCGGCAGAGAATAATGGTAGAACCATGAGTGTCTCCGGTGAGAATTGATAGGCAATGGCCTTAGGTTTTGTTTTGTGAGTGCTGTGGTTGCTTCGTGTTCGACTGATTTCAGATTCTGAACTGGTGATGTCTGTAATGAACACTGGGAGTGGGAGTAGCACGACCTGCATTCACTTGAAACGCTGATCACTGAACATGTTTGAACTCAGAACTGAATATGCTCCGACGCCCTGAATCGAATGGCTAACAGGGTTGCAGACACTGTCCGCGTTTTCATAGGAAACTAGAAACCCTACTTAGAACGTTGCCTGCTCATGGTACAGTACATATGCTATAATCCAGTGGATGAACTCATTTCATTGCGCTACTGTATATTACTATAACATGAGGTAATGAAGCATTAACTACCTGCTAATTCATTAGTAAATAAGACCAGAAGGCCTAGATACAGAGCTGAGTCTGTAGCTTTTTTAAAAAAAAATCACAATAACATACATATGGACTGATAAAATAAAAACGAGCACACAAATAAATAAAAATAGATAGGTATAAAAAAATCTTTGCATCTTAAGGACTAATTTATTATCACGGACAATGCTTCAAATTGTTCGAAAATGGCAAGGGCATAAAAATAGTGTTTATGTCGAAGGCTACAAGAAAGAAACTTCTAAAGAAGACAAATAATTCAACGAAGAAGCGCCTGCATTCATTCTCATATGGATAAGACACATTGGGAATATGCTTTGAGTGGCAGTGATACATATTCCTTCTTGAAGAAATTTCTCAACGCTTACTGAAATAACTCTATTTGGCAATAGGTCCTTCACTGTAAGTATAAAACCATACATCCTGCAGAACAACATCACATCAGGTAATTAGGTTACAGACAAAACCAGTTAATTGGAAATGTAAATAGCTGTTTATGATTTGAAGTTTGAAAGACCGAAGAAAGTTGCTACTGGTATAATACCAGACTGAACTCCTTTACACATGCAAATATCTAAAACTGAATTTGTAAGCAAAATTAAATCTTACTCGTCTAAGATAATTGTGGTAGATGCAGATGCAGAGAAGGCTTAGAAAATGAGCCTAGCATGTTAGTACTTTTCAACTATCTTGTGGAGTCCACCAAGTTTCTTCAGAATCACCCTATTCAATAACAACACATAGCATGACCAGATAAACAGCTGAAAAATAAAGTGAAGTACTGTTTTGCATAAGAATGCTGCACAACTCTCAGTCTGGTTGTTTTATCATTGCCCAACACATCACTTTTACTAGCTCTTGATCTTTTTAGAAGAAATACTTTTGATACTTATGAATGTGTGGTTTTGAATTGCTACTCTCTACTATTGTGGAGTACTTACAAATTCTATACAAATTGTTACATATCAAAGGCACGACTCATAGTATTTTCCAGCTCAACTATGTATCTCTGCACACACACACAACTGTGATCCTCCAGTCGATCATAATAGTAACCTGACCATGTATTTACATAGGTTCAAAAGATGAGCTTTAAATGTTAATCCAAGTCAAGAATGAATAATAAGTGGAATCAGGTAGGACCATAGATGCATTTGTTCAAGGGAGAACTCCTGTCATTTTTCTTCAAAAAAAAAAAAAAAACAGATGCAGCTATTGGAGGTTGCAATTATTTGTTAAATAAACATTATTCTGGCTGTTGATACTTCAGGTTAATAATTTTTAGGTAGAGAAGGATGCTTGTTGCTTTGAAAAGTTTGTTTGATGGTTGTTAGGAACATATGAAGCTATTTCAGAGTTCCGAAACAGCCTGTTTATCAGGCTGTCGATCTATTGCAACACAGTGGATACAGAGGAAACAATGAGTCATCATGATTTTTTCTGATTCAAGTTTTATCAGTCTGTTACGTAGTTTGGAAAACAACAAACTTTTGTCAGACTTTGTATATAGTTACATACAGAAAATAGGGAAAATATATCTTCAGCATTCAGAAGAAAAAAACTGGTCTCCAGTAGTGACACCTTTAGGTTCACATAAAACTAATCAAAATATAATTCAGTATCATGTAAGCATTGTGAGTTGAGTGCCAATGAAGTTTCCACAGATAGAGCATCACTAATGTAGACGAACAAAATTGGATTCACCGTTTTAAAGCCTCGGATGAATTATTTATATATAAACATGACATACACAATTAAATGATCCTGGAGGATGCCAATACAAGGATATATAAAGAGATAAGTTTCAAGTCATTCGGAGTTTTTTCTATAGATTTTGCAAGATCTTGAAGGGCGGGCCTGGTGCAAGCGGTAGAGTCTTACCGCCTGTGACCGGAAGGTCCCGGGTTTGAGTCGCGGTCTCCTCGTATTGCACAGGCGAGGGTAAGGCTTGCCACTAACACCCTTCCCTAGACCCCGCACAGAGCGGGAGCTCTCTGCACTGGGTACGCCCTTTATTTTGCAAGATCTTGAATGCACAAGCCACAAGGACAGGATGAGAAACACTAGAGGCGTGATTTAATCCACCATTGAAAAGCAAACGAGCTAATCATGGCGTTTGATCAATCCTCCGTAGTTCGCTGCAACTAATGAATTTGCAAAGTGCGTAATAGGCTTGGATTCCTCAGCCTCTGCCCTCTTTTACTGTTAAGATCAAATTTTAGGAATCGAATCGAGTACACGTTTGGAAGGGCCAAATCGACATTAACTCACTGTTCATTTAGATGTGCTAACCATAGATTTTTTTTTTAGCCAGCCATAGAGCCTGTTCGCTTGGAGAAATTTGGAGGAATCTGTGAGAGAGTGAACAGTGAATTTCAGCCTCAAACAGTGAAATCCGGCTGAATTCTTTACCAGCCGAACGGCACCTAACTCGCAGAAAATTTAGTGATTGCAAATAGGTACACTAAATTAGCACCAACATTCTAATGACCCAATAGGTACAGGTCGTAGTAATTTGCTAACTTTGTTATAGCAAAACTGGTGTCCTAAGGATCTAGTGCATGGAAAGAGCTAAAAAGCTTCAAATGACAGAGATGATACCGTTTGAAACTTATAGTCAGTATAATTGCAAACGATCATGTAAACAAAACATTTAAGGTTGACTCGTGTCACATCCACTGAGGCACAGCATTGGAAACATTATAATTGGATAGGATGAGAAACACCAGAGGCGTGATTTAATGCACTACAGAAAAGCAAACGCTATTCTTTCCCATTGATCAATCCTGCATGTTTCGCTGCAACTAATGAATTCGGAAAGTGCATAATAGGCTTGGATTCCTCAGACTCTGCCCCCTTTTCCTGTTTAGCTCAAATTTTAGGAATCAAATCGAGTACACGTTTTGAACGGTTAAATGGATATTAACTTACTGTTTTAGTGTGTACTTCATTTTAGGTCTGCTAACCATAGAGTTGTCAACATTGGCCCTACTATACCTATCAAGCAATCGGAACACTGAATCTGATATGAGAAACAGATGGGTTTTGCAAATTGCAATGCAAACATAGTACAGATAGAGGCACGAACGCTCACCGCAGCTGCCTTGGTCCTTAACCTTGGTAACGGCCCCGCCCTTCCTCCAGTCCACCGCATCGGCCATCGGGCACCGCGCCCAGACCGCCGCCTAGGCCCCGGTACACGGGCACAGCGCGGCTACGGGGCGCCGCCCTCGCCGCGAGGCGGCCAACAAGGCGAGCGGCGCGGAACTCCTCGTGCGTCAGGTCCAAGAAGGCGTTGAGGAGATGGAGGATGGCCGGATTTCCCCATTTCGGCGCTCAACGGACACCCAGCCGGCGAGTTTTGGCGGCGGCAGCCTCTACTGTGGCGGCGTCAGGTGGGGGAGACCGGTCAGCGACCCCATGGGAAATGGATGGCAGATTCTCACTCCAGTGCCAAATCCAACGGATGAGCGTCCCAATCGGGCCCTATAAACAAGGACACAAAACCACGACGCCGGAAAGCCCCGAGCCCGGCGCCGCCTCCCCCGCTTGTCCTAAACCTCTAACCCTAGGAGCGCCGGCGGCGATGGTCCCCAAGCGCTCGGCTCAACCTCCGCCGCCTCCGCCCCCGGCTGCCTCCTCCGAGGAGACCGTCGCCTCTGGTTCGGGCTCCGAGGAGGAGGAGGAGGAGGAGATCGCCCACTCACCCCCTCCGGCCGCTCCCAAGCGCATTGCTCCACCGCCGCAGAAGGACCAGGAATCCGAAGCGTCCGATGAGGATGAAGATGGCGAGGAGGAGGAGGACGACGACGACGAAGAAGAAGAGGACGAGAAGGCCAACCACGTGATCCCTTCTTCCGCCACCAAGAACCCGCCTCCGCCGCCGCCGACTCGCGAGGAATCCGAGACTTCCGACGAAGAAGAGGAGGAGGAGGAGGCGGACGACGAGATGCCGCAGACGAAGCCCGCTCCAAATCAAGAGATGGGGGCTAAGGGCGCAAAGCGGCCGAGCGCGCCGTTCCAGCGCACCTGGTCGACTGACGACGAGTTCCGCATCCTGGAGGCCCTCGCCGCGCACCGCCTGGAGCACGGCACGATGCCTCAAACAGACGTGCTGGCCAACGCCCTCGCTGGCAAGCTCGACAACAGTGGCTGCAGCCTCTCCGAGCTCCAGAGGAAGGTGAAGAGCTTGCAGAGCCGGTACACCAAAGCGGTCAAGAAGGGTGCGCCGCCGAGCAAGGATCACGACCGCCGTCTCTTCGACCTCTTCAAGAACGTCTGGCCTTCCGTTACGCCTACCAAGGCAGCCGCTAACAGTGGTGCTGGGAGGGAGCCTGACGAGATGTGTGAGCTGTACCCATACCTTGCGGAGGAGGTGAAGGCGCTTCAGAAGGCACACCCGGGTTTGTTCAAGCGGGAGTTCGCGATGATCGACGATAGCAAGGCCCGTGCACTGGACGAGAAGATCAAGAAGCAGAGGCATGTACAGATGAAGCTGCATCTGCGCCGCCACGACCTGACCAAGGAAGTGACCAAGACGCTCATGGACCTGGCTGAGTGATGGGGTGGACTGAGCTGAGCAGTATCTAGGCATTCTATTTTATGGCATTCAAATGCATTGATGCTCGATTACCAGCAAATTTTGTATCCTCTACTGAAGTACGGTAGCTGAATCTCGACTTTGTTATCTAGCTGGTGTCGAGTTTTTTGTTGTTCGTGGTGATCGAGACTTGTTGCAGTGTCAGTGTTAAGTCAGCAAGTGCCTGGATGATGTTCAGTTATTTTGTTTTGTTGTTGGTTCTGAACTTGGCAGGATAACTTTTGTAGTCTAAATTTGTCAGTCTGAGCTCTAATAGTAATATGGAAATACTATGTTATTCGGAAAAGCAAATCCACAACCAAGTGTTTCGTCTTGTGCCGGCACTCAATTTTCAATCCATTTGATCGGTTATGTGATATGTGCTGAGTTTGGTGCATGTAGGCTGCAACATCTTGTTGCACTGGGCCACAGGCTCTATTGTGCACGCTTTGGTGTACATTTTCAGGGAGCAGTTCAGGTGTTATCAAGAGGGGGAATCTGAATAATCATAAGCTCGGCTTCCTTCATGTCTGACTGTCTCAGTGGACGAGTGGTTTTTGGATCCCTCTCTTATCTCTTCCCTCTGTTCCTCCTCTGCTCTTCCATTTCTTCAGCTTGCTCATATCAATCTTTGTACTATCTATTGTGTTCCCCTGCTCCTCGAGATTCGATTCAGCTCTCTGGGCATGTTAGTGGGACTGACGATTTATAGAGATCAGTAACTGGATCCAAATGTTTCATTTGTAGTGTGTTCTCCAGATTGTGTTGATACCATTTTATAACCCTACTATTAGATTTGGATGTTGATTTGCCCCTCTTGCTTGGAGGGGGCACCAAAGTTGGTTGGGCCGCTGAGCCCTGAGTCCTGACAGTCATGATGGGAAGAAGAGGAGTGGGTCGAGTCCATGGCACCCAGCCTGCACCCAGGCCCCCGATGGCATATGACTGAATTTCTCAGCAAGAGGGCTTCATTGCTACTTCATATCCGGGTGAGGAGCTCTATATGTTCTTTTCCTGTGTGGTTACTTTGAGAAGTTGTTGATCTGTTAGTCCTAGTGGTAGTGGAATCGTTCACTTAAGCTGTCGAGAAATTATGGACCCTTGTATCATCAGGCATGTTGATTAGCTATAAAGATGTAAATGCTTGCAAAATGGTAGTTACCACAGGTTTGACAAAGTCACTGGCACCCTCTAATGAACTAGTGACTGCAGGATTTTTTTTTAAATGAATCTGGAGGAGCCGTGGCTCCTACAGTAAATTGAAAAATAAAGACGCCCCAGGGCAGCAAAGTTCTTGGTGATTCAAGAAACAAAAAAGAGACGAAAAAAATAAACTTAAGAGTAAAGGTTACAACAAACTCTGGATCCATAAGTTAAAAATTTGGGATGATCTTGAATTGGCTCTTATTGATAACAATGAGAGCTCCTTTGCAAAAGAAAAAAAAACCCTGGTGTTATGGAGGTTTGGCTGAATCCCTTTGAAGATTAGATCATTTCTAGCAGTCCGAATAGTCCAGCACATGAGGATTATTATGTTCATGAAGAAGCTTTGGTGTAGTTGAGCCTTCAAATTCAACAACTTCAGGGAAACTACCCTCGCTTGGAATGTGCAGATTCATGAAGCTCCAACAAGAGGTGGCAAAGGGACATCCAAGAAATAGGTGCTCAGCAGTTTCCTCTACTGTTTGCTGGCAAAGAACACAATCAAAAGAGTCAAGAACCATGTTTCTTCTTAGAATATTTCTTGTGCGGAGCCTATCTTTGATAAGCAACCAGGAAAAGACTTTGTGCCTAGGTTGGCAGAAGGACTTCCAAGTCCACTTGAAGGCATCGTGAACTTGGTGGCTCCCAATTAGCTTCTTGTAAATATTGGCGGAGGACAAAATATCTGAGCTCCAAACATCATTTGTATCGGTGAAGTTTGTCCCTTCAAAAATTAACTGCAGGACTGCATTTGGGCAAAAGCTATTTCTGACAGTGGCAGCTGGAAAAAATGAGATAATTGTAGTTGAGTTGAAGCTTTGTTAACCAAGATAGCTTTATTCTTGGCGAAGGAGTAGAGTTCTGAGAGCTTATTCAAGAGAATTTCATCACACCAGCAATCTGACCATAGAAGACAGGAGTGTCCATTTCTGATTTTCACCTTAAGAGAGTTCCTTATAGGAGGGCAGAATTTTCAAATTTTCAAGCGACCAAAATGATCCCTTCATCGTGTGGTTTGGCAGCTTTCCATTAGGATTTAGTTTTTCCCAAACCAAGGTAACCCACGGGATGTCTTGCTTGTTTAGGAATTTGTGAATGTTCTTCATCATCAGTGCTTCATTATGTTTTTTCAAGTTGATAACTCCTAGACCTCCCTCATTCGTAAAGAAACCATTTTTCAGTTGATATCTGAGCCTCTATAAAGACGATGTTTCCTAAACTTGTCTATCTGTTTAACCATAGAGGCTGGCAGGATGAAGGTGCTCGTAAAGAAAGTTGGGAGCGATGAAAAGACAACATTTGTTAGTTGCAGGCTGCCTGCTTGGGAGAGAAAAGTTGAGACACTGACTAGGTGTCTCTCACAACGGTTAACCAGAGATGGAAATTCTTCAACTCTTGGTCTTGTTAGACCAAGAGGTAGCCCCAGATATGTGAATGACAATGAGATATGTGAATGGCAATGAGCCATTTGCACGTCCAAAAGTTTGGGCCAAATGATCTAGCTTTTCGTCTGACATCCGCGCTATATAGCGAGCATCCGATTTCTCCCCTGCTGATACTGCCTCGTCGACCGACAGATCAAGCTGTTGAGATTGTGACGGCTAAGGTTCTTGACAAGGTGACGAAGTATCTCACCTGGATCCTGACGAAGCATCTCACCCTTGCACGGAGTCTGACGGAAAGGATGCAGCCGCCGCCGATGATGACCTGTTCAGTAGTAGATTTACACGATCCTCTCGTAGTCTCCTAGATTGATCTCATGGTTCAGAGCAAATTTTGTATATGGTGTTGTTCTGTTCGGTACAAGCAGATTTACACTAGCTTCGAACTGAATCAATGGTCGTGGTTCTGTGGTATTTGAATGAACCATACGTATGGCTCCTTTATTTCTTCTGCCTATGTTGGATTAGTAGTACCATCATGCATTTTCTTTCGAGGAAGCTTGAACCAATGTTCCAAATTAAATTGAGTAATTAATTTCATGTTCAAATTAGTTAGAACTTCATCAACAACAGAAGCTAATTGACGCTGAACGGTCTCGTCAGATAGGAAGCTAACGTCAGAAGCTAGCACCATGCGTATACAATTCGCTCCCTTGGAAACTCTATTCCGTTTCCGTGCATGAGGTTCGAAGTGTCTAGAAAAGGTTCGCTCCGATCCTTTGCAGAGCTATTTCACAGGCTCCCCCATCGTCGGTTGGTGCGCGCGGCGCGTCTGGCGTGCAGCGGCGGCACGACACCAAACTAGCGCGACGCGGGCGCGGCAGCAGCCGGTCCAGTCGACTTCCCCGACGTGGTCTCCTCCCACCCATACACCCTTCCCTTCCCACACCCACAGAACCCAATTCCCTCGCGCTCCCCCTTCCCCACTGTCCCTCCCGCATCGGGCATCACACATCCCACCGCCGCTGCCGCTGCCGCCACCACGCGCCCCACACTTGTATGCAATTATTCGCACCCGGACGCCACCGCCTCCGCCTCCACCGCCGCCTGCGCCATGGCTGACTCCTCGGTGGCCGGCGCGCTCGTGCCGTCCGTGCCCAAGCCGGAGCCCGCGCCGTCCGGTGACACCTCCGCGGCGGCCGCGGCGACCACGGCGGCGCTGGCGCTGCCGGAGGAGGCGGGGACGCGCGCGGCGTCGGCGTCGCCGCAGGGGCCGGCGGCGGCGGAGGAGGGCCCCGCCGATAGGGACCTCCTCTGCCCGATCTGCATGGCCCTCATCAAGGACGCCTTCCTCACCGCCTGCGGCCACAGCTTCTGCTACATGTGCATCGTCACGCACCTCAGCAACAAGAGCGACTGCCCCTGCTGCGGGCACTACCTTACCAAGGCCCAGCTCTACCCCAACTTTCTCCTTGACAAGGTTGGCTGCCTGTTCTACTTGCCTCAGCTACTCTTCTAGAGTTCATGTCATGTGCTACAAACTGTAAACTGGCATTTGCTGAATGTCATTTATGTGTCGCCCGGTGTGATCGTGGTGTGGCAAAAATAGTAGTTGTTGCATGCAATTCCGAATTCTAGAGTTTCGAAACCCAGTGTGGTTGTGGTGTGGCAAAAACAGTAGGTGTTGCATGCAGTTCCCGATTCTAGGTTTTCGAAATGAAATTCCATTCGATGGGACGACACTTGCACTGCCACATTACTCTGATCTGGATTTGGTTTGTATGGGATGGCGCTGCCATTAGGCTTGTCAATTTCTCTGTTTACCCCTTATTTTCACTTTAGTATTAGAAGTTTGGGGTAACTTCTGTAGTACATGTTCCTCAGTGTCCTTGTTGACCAGTTGATTTCATCATACATTTCAGTATGTTGTTACTTGTTGGTGACAGACCTTTCAGAATTACTTTCACAACTTCTGGTGCTCCATGTCTGTTAGGCAGTATGTAATTACTATGCTGTCCACTGCTATGTGTTCATGAAGCTATGTTAGTGTGGTATGCACTTATGCCAGTGACTTTTAGCATACTATACTCATGCCCTGACTGGAACAAACATTTCTGTTCTTGTCTATTGTTTATTTAGAACCGATTGCAGATATGATTTGCTAAACTTCTTACATTGCATCCATGTCCTGTCTATATAGGTTCTGAAGAAAATATCTGCCCGACAAATCGCAAAAACAGCATCACCGATCAATCAATTTCGATGCGCATTGCAACAGGTCAGTGATTCTGATTCCATGTGTTACTTTGCTAGTTGCTACTATTTTCAATGATAAGCAAACTTCACTCCTGCATTCACCACTTAACAAGCACATTTTAAGTCTCTGCACCAATTTTTCCCTTGCATCCACTTTTGTGTAGCGACTAAATTCATATCTAAGTGGACATTTCCGTTCTGTAAAGAGTATAGAACTTAAGTACTTACCTCATAAGTGTTTTTATGAATCAAAACTTCAGTATTATGGAAACACCTTGGGAGTTCATTACTTTATTAACATCATTTTCATGCAACTAATCTAAATATTCGTAAAGGTGTTGGTCAAAAGTCAAATTGTTTCACTGCAAGTTTCCCACGGTAATACTTTTCTGAGGCTAAATGAAGTGGAAGTTTTTAGACTACTTATTTGGGAATAATGGCTCTGTTCCCCTTATGATTGCAGCTGCTGTCTATGTTCTGTGAGACCTCTTATGATTGACTGTTCACATGATAAACCATGCATTATATGGTTGGCTCAGACACCATCTTTGCATATGTGAATCTAGTAGTAATATAATCGCAAGTTCGTAACATGTAAATCTTGGTGTTTCAGTTAGGTGCTCTTGATATATGTGTTTACTTGCTGCCTGTTAGTTGTATGACTTCATATTTCCTGTCATAGCTGTTGTAATTTGTGACCCCATTAATAAGCTACTGATGATTTATCATTTATTCTTGAGATAGGGAAATGAAATGGGGGTTAAAGAGTTAGATAGCCTTATGACTTTGATTGCTGAGAAGAAGCGGCAAATGGAACAACAAGAATCGGAGACAAATATGCAAATATTGTTAGTCTTCTTGCACTGCCTTAGAAAGCAAAAGCTGGAAGAATTGAATGAGGTTTGTCCTACGTATTTTTATGGTTCTGAATTTCTGATTCCTTCACAATGCTAACATTTTAATGTCAAACGACCTTCATCAATCTTGCTAATCAAATGAAATAAAAGTTTTGCTTATTGCATTTTTGTCGCTCTCTTTTTTTCTTATTCTGAAGTCTATTGTTGTTAATCATATTCACATCTTCTCAATAGATTCAAACTGATCTACAGTACATCAAAGAGGATATAAGTGCTGTGGAGAGACATAGGAAAGAATTATATCGCACAAAAGAAAGGTACTCCATGAAGCTGCGCATGCTTTTAGATGAGCCTAGTGCACAAAAAATGTGGCCCTCTCCTATAGACAAAGCTGGCTGTCGCTTTCCTCCCAACTCTCGGACACCACTTAACGCATCATGTCCAGGAAGTTTACAGAATAAGAAGCTTGATTTGAAAGCTCAAGTAAGCCATCAAGGATTTCAAAGGAGAGATGCTCTAGCTTCTTCTGACCCTCCTAACCCCCCTATACAATCGGGTAATGTCATTGCTAGGAAGAGGCGAGTTCAAGCACAGGTGAGTTTCTCACTCCATGCATTACTACATTCCTTAAGGCGCAGTGTCCCCCCCACATTACACCCAAAAAGTAGGCCTCTTGTGTGTTGCATACATGTTTTGAACAGTATACAGTACACACATGGCCATTTACTTTAGTGTTAGATAAAACGGCACTAATCTTATGTCATTTATTTTTTATCTAATTCTATGAGGAACATTGCAGTTCAATGAGCTTCAAGAATACTACCTGCAAAGACGGCGCACCGGAGCACAGGCCCGCAGGCAAGAAGAAAGAGATATCGTTGCAATGAATAGAGAAGGCTATCATGCAGGTCTTCAGGATTTCCAGTCTGTGCTAACAACGTTCACTCGATACAGGTGTGGTTATCTCCTGTGATGAGACAATATGCTTTGTTGTCTTTGTTCCATTCTCACTGAGCTCATTTTGTTTGTTGTCATGTTTACTTCAGTCGTCTACGTGTCATTGCGGAACTAAGACATGGAGACTTGTTTCACTCTGCCAATATTGTATCCAGGTGTGTAGTTTGTAGTCCAATGTAAACACAGTTTCTTATCTGTGCTTTAAAATATAACTAGCAGCAGAACCAGTGCAGTTGCATGGATAGATAAATTTGAGTTTTGGTCATCAGAGTTTAAATATCTATGCCTACACTATAAAATATAAATTATTAATGAACCTTTTATGGTCCTCCAAGAGTTATCACCGATTATGATTTTGGAGGTACCAAAATCAAGGGCCATAAAAGTTTATTATTCTCTCACCTTATAATCTGGGCCTACCTACCAAATAAGAAGTTAAGTCTTTTCATCATTACTCTGGTTAATGTGGGAAAATCAGCTCCATTAAAGCAAACATGTAAGCAGCTTTTAGGTTTGAACATCTAATTTTATTATACAATACATGTGAAAGTAGGGTTTCATCAAAGTGGAGCACATTGGGGCACAATTATTTCCAGTTCTATGTGCTTGCCAATCAACTACTTCTCCTTTATTTTACAGCAATTAGGGATGGACATTTGATATTTTTGTTATATTGCAGTATTGAATTTGATCGTGATGATGAACTATTTGCTACTGCTGGAGTCTCGAAACGTATTAAAATCTTTGAATTTTCTACTGTAAGTTTGCTTTGTCAGGGCATGTCCATTCCATAGTTCATTGTAATTGAGATTACTTAAGGTTGATTTGCATCATTACTTAGGTTGTTAATGAACCATCAGATGTGCATTGCCCGGTTGTTGAAATGGCTACCAGATCTAAACTTAGCTGCCTAAGCTGGAACAAGTACTCAAAAAATGTTATTGCAAGCAGTGACTATGAGGGTATAGTAACTGTGTGGGATGTCCAGACCCGTCAGGTATCCACTCTCTATTCTACAGTAAATTCTGCACCGACTGTATTATAATTCAAACTGAGGTATATGGTCTCTGTGTATTGTGCCATGCTAGAGTGTGATGGAATATGAAGAGCATGAGAAGAGGGCATGGAGTGTTGATTTTTCTCGTACAGACCCTTCAATGCTAGTATCTGGGAGTGACGATTGCAAGGTATTTGGAAATTAATATGGTTCAATTATTTTCGCCCTTTACCAAACTAAGAAAGAAAAGCTTGGTGATTTTTTCTCAAATGTCAAGTACCAAAATCACTTGTTACATTACGACCTGGGTGGTGGATCTTTCACTTTTATCAGACAACTCACTGCAGAAATGATAGTAGTTTCAGATGGTCACAGTGAATATTAAATCCCCCCTCTTTTTTCTCCACATTGTCCCCTCTGAGTGCAAATGTGTTATTCAGTCTCATCGATGCATAGGTGGAACCCACTAAAATAGTGGCTTCAAGTTTTTGTTCTATTACAATGTTTGTGTGATACTAATGGAAGTTAGTGCTGTGTATGCCAGGTGAAAGTGTGGTGCACAAAACAAGAAGCAAGCGTGATCAATATTGATATGAAAGCAAATATTTGCTCGGTTAAATATAATCCTGGATCAAACTTCTACGTTGCCGTATGTTGCTTCATTTCTTAGCTTATATTGACTTTGCTTTTTCCAATCAAAATGTTATTTTGTTTACTTATCAGATACTACAATATTTCAGGTTGGATCTGCTGATCACCATATTCATTACTTTGACTTACGTAATCCAAGTGTGCCTGTCCATATTTTCGGTGGGCACAAGAAAGCAGTATCGTATGTGAAATTCTTATCTAACAATGAGCTTGCATCTGCATCAACAGATAGCACATTGCGCTTATGGGATGTCAAGGATAATTGTCCGGTATGCTCTTTCTGAGATAATATTTTTTATTTGACATTCTTGCCTCTTGAGCTTCTGTAGCATAGGAAAGTGTGGAGCTATTTTCGTTTAGGAAGTACTCCAAACTATGCAGATAAAAGTGCTTTTATTTCTGTTGTGTTCCTGTTTTTTTCTCCAGAATAAGCTGTCCACTGCAGTACATAGGACAATTTTGACGAATATGAACTTCAGCACTTCACATAGAATTCTCTTTCATACTGCACCATTTTTTTTATAGTGCAACTGGCAGTGAATTATCTGATTTGGTTCAACATTACATGCCCAATTTGAAATAGTGCAGCAATGAACATAAAATTTGGATGGCCATTTTGTTATAAGTTATAACATTGTCTTTTTTCAGGTACGGACGTTCAGAGGGCACAAAAATGAAAAGAACTTCGTTGGGTTGTCTGTGAACAATGAGTATATTGCTTGTGGAAGTGAAACAAATGAGGTTTTTGTTTATCACAAGGTAATCGCAAGCTTCTGGCCTGGTCTTGTTCCCATGCAGCATGCATTGTTATGATGTGTGATTCACCTTAATCAATCAGATGGGTTCCTAACTCCACACTGATTGCAGGCTATCTCAAAACCAGCAGCAAGCCATAGATTTGTATCCTCTGACCTGGATGATGCTGATGATGATCCTGGTTCTTATTTCATTAGTGCTGTCTGCTGGAAGAGTGATAGCCCTACCATGTTAACTGCTAACAGTCAGGGAACCATAAAAGTTCTTGTACTTGCTCCTTGATGTTATGGAGGGCGTTCAAGAGACTAACAGCCAGCTTGTTTATCTTACTGTCCAGTTGTTTCCTTTCGTGCCATTATATTCCCCAAAGGTGGGAATGGAGGCATTATTGATCTCCGGTTAGGGCATGAAGTTTTGCAGATGGTCAGCTGACGTAGGGTTTTGAGGTATCAGAATGTGCATAATCATGTTTATGTTGTATAGGTGTAAAGCAGCCAAGTTATTGATTACAAGTGTAACACGAGAAATAGACATGAATAAAAACTCCAGCTCGTTTGTACAGAGGTTGTGTTTGAACTTTGAACCCAGAAACTTATGTGGCTAACAGTCAAGGATTTCTTTTTAACATTCTGGTGTGTTGCTTCCAGAACTATGTTCTGTATATTTTTAACAAAACCACGCGCTCTTACAAAGTGGAGATACACCATATATTTTTCTTCGTATATATAAGTTGTAGGGCAACAGTTTCCAAGTCTGATGATTATCAGTATGGTATTTGCAATTCTCTGCCTGTGTGCAGACGTAGTATTTATGTGTGTGTGCCAAGGTTGCATGCCACAGTTCTTTCTTCTACTAGACGCCGAGACAGCTACGGTAAGTAAACTAGGATCGTGTTCGTTTTCTTATTTGACCAAAAGATTGTTCTTTTGTTTATGAAAACAAAATAGTACCAACCACAGCAGAGATCTAACAAGTGCCAACCACTTCCTGAGATAGTTTTGCAGCTCGGAACAGGTCCGACTGAAGCATCTCAATCACCAGCTGCAATGCACGGGGGGACCAAAAAGTCGCAGGCCGTCCGGCGAGCAAGAGGCTCGTTGGCCCTTCGAGCGCCCAACGGCCTATATGCGGTTTCCGCAGGGATCGAGCGAACGTCGCATGCAGATGCATGCGCGCTACCTGGACCCGTCGGCCGTCGCCCGTGCACGCACACGGATGCACTGCACGGCCGGTCGACCGCGCCTGCCCACCCGCCCGGCACACGCCGCGCCGCCGATGCGGTGGGCGGGCGAGTGGCGACGGTGCCGCTACCGTCCGCGGGCCGCGGACGCAGCGCGGGACGTGCCGACGTGAGCGCCTTCGTCCGCGCACCGCGAACGAGGTCATCTGTCGGGTGTCGGCTAGTCAGTCGACTTCACGGGGCGTTTCCGCATCTTTTACTGTTTTATTTACCTCGCGATCAGAGTCGTCCATGTTGTGCGCTGATCGGGTGATCCACGTTTAATCCATGTGGTTAACTGGGCACGCATGGCCATAGCTTCTGCGTTGCGTTGTGAATCTAAACAAACCAAAGACAACACAAGACACATCTCCTGCTAAGATCAGATTGGAATGTTTGGCAGACTGAGAAAGCCGATTTTGGCCGGGTTCAGTCTACCTTAGTGCAGGTTGCCCAGTCGTGTTTTGTTTTCAGCCTTAGGTTGGGTTGGGTTACATTGCATCTCCCAAAAAATTCAGCTTTTGCGTGCCTATAGCCATATACTAGTGGCACGCAATACTTTTCTATGCTCTTTAGCAGTAATAGGACGCCTGTTTTGATTCCTGTAGCTGTAAGATTCAGGCATTCAGCCAGTCACCCTATTCTCCTGTTTCCTTCCAGTCCCAATCAAGCTGCATGAAAGTATCGATGATTCAAGTGACCGAAGATTCCACTTGAAAATCTAAACCAGCATACTAATGGCGTGCTTTATCACTTTATGTTCTTTCATGGGTGCAAACAGAGCGCCTATTAGTTGTTCCAAAAGGACGGGCGAGTCTGATACGGCATTTTCTTTTGGAAGTAGTACGTTGATACGGCGCTTTCGCTGTAGTGTAGTTTCATCTTGATTCGTCTGGATGTGATTGTTTTTGTCGTTTTTTCTTTTTTTTTTTTTTTTGTTTCTTTTGGGTACTGAAAAGCGAGAATATTCTAAGGTTCTGTTGCCATACTCCGAGAAAGAACAAGATGAGCCGTCGATTGTTGCCGTGCACTGATTCCTTTCTCGTGCGATGAATCAGTCTGGTTACATGCATACGGTGTGCAGCTGTGATCGCGATAGATATACGTCTTGCAGAGCTGCATGTTCGTATGTCACAGCGTTTTTTTAACCACTGGTTCGCTTTCCCGAAGCCAACTGGTAAGTCTGATGGGGATCTTTGGCTTATTCTGAGATTCAAGTGGAACCACTTGCATCTGCACAGAGCTGTGTATGTGATGTATCCAGACTTTTCCAGAGTCCAAAACAAACGATATCCTCCGAGAGTGCTAGCTGTAACATGTAACAATACTGCTGAGTATAGAGTGGAAAAACTGTGGAGATGAACAGCTTAGCTGATTACAATGGCACAGTAGATCGAAGATGCAGGACTGCCGACTGCAGGACACAAAGCTGAACTGACTTAATCGCATGGACTGAACATTGTTTGGGATGTGAACATTTCACTCGCTACAAACTGTATCACAGCGTGGCTTTTTGCCAGCTTAGAAAAGGACATTTGAGGCCTTCATTTTCTACGGAGGAGCAGGGAGAATCGACAGATATCAGGACGATGGTATGAGTGGCTAGTATCGAAAGTAGTCCTTCCACAGAAATGTGCGTCTAGGAGTGGAGGACCAGGACTCAGAGATGCAGTCCGAGCCGTTCAAGTCTTGCTGTGGGAAGGGAAAATTCCACTTTCCTTTACGTCAAGTCTTGCTGCTCAATTTCATCGTATTGATTCCCATTGGAAAAAAGAAAGAAAGAAAAATGTAGCCTATTTGCACCGCAAATTTTCACGTTTGCACTACTAAGAGTCATCAGATACGCATAAATCGTGAAGCATGCAGGTGGCTGCTCGAGCCTTGTAGAGCCTAAACTCCAAAGCATGGCCCGTGCCCAAACTGTGAGCAAGCGAAGCCTGACGCCTCGGCGTTCACAGGACGAGAGCCCATGGCACCACGTTTCAGAGTTCTGGCGGCGCCAGGCGCCAGGCACCAGGCAGGGACCGAGGTGGTGGATTGGCGCAAAACACCAAAGCCATAAAAGAGACAGGGCGATCGATCGATCTCTTGTTATAAATTTACGTATTTTTATTATCAGTTTAGTCTATAAAAATAATAACAGCAGATTCGTGATGACATATATGTGCATATGTATTTTTCTAATGAACACTACAACATACAGAGATGACATACAGACGAATACTATAGCAGTGAGTACAGTAATAACAGAGTTTAGAGTGTACCCAGCGGAGGGTCCCATGCTGAGGACATCGGAGGCTTCATTCGCACTAGTCGACATAGGCCCCGTTCGGCTGGCTGAAACCTGGCTGAAACTGGCTGAAAACACTGTTCTGGCTGAATTGTTGTGAGAGAAAAATATTGTTCCGGCTGAAAAAACAAGCCGAACAAACCAGTTTCTGGGTAAGCCGAACGGGGCCATAGTGCGTTGCTCGAAGTCGCAGACCACAGTCGGTGCAGGATGATGTTTGCAGTGTAGTCCCACGAATGGATCACTAGGAAAAAGGTAGCTTGCGGTTCCGTAGGCAATCACCGGGAAGAAGACGGAGATCTACCACCAGAAAGAAGGCGTACGTGGACGAGCAGTCGTGGATCGCTCCCCAAAAATCTAATCGCCGCACACCTCGTGCAAGGTTCTCCAGCAGACGAGGGTTCCGGAGGCACCTGCTCTCCCGCTACTCTGTGCGCGCAGTCAATTCGCCTCCACCATCAAGTAGCGAAACTCCCGTGATACTGTGGATTTAAATGGCAAAAGACTAGCCACGCCCGTCCGCTCGCTCGCCGCCTGCCTCTCCACGCCACGCCACGCCACGCCACGGCCTCGACTCGGCCGGCGGCCGCGGCGCGCGCGTGGCATGTCTTTATCCTTTTCTCAGCTTCTCAATTTAGATGAATAATTTCCAACCATATAAGCTAAGTCAGCGTTCAGTCAAAATCCCGTATGGTATTAAGTCATACAACACTTAATGTTATGTACCATAGAGTTTTATTTGATTTATTAAATATTATATGGGCCAAGCCCATATTATATCCAATAATCCCCACCAAACTCTAGGGTTTGTAACAAAGTAGTATCAGAACCATATTTCTTTTATATATCAGTGTTTCGATGGATACTGTTAAGTTGAACATCCATTTAGAACAATAGTTTTGCTCGGTCACACCTGAACAATGGACTAAGCCTTGAATTGACAGTTTTGTGTGAGGTGAATGTCACTAAAGTCCTTAGCTGATACTGGGTAGCAAAAGGCATCCCTCTATTTGAAGCATATAAGTTATACTTCAGTGCCTTTCATGAGTATTTAGAGATCACCTAAATCTTATAGACTGTGACCAGCAGCCTGACTCATATAGGTGTGTTCCTCAAAAGATGTTCTGTATGACAACATCTTTGCTTTAGCAAGCCGCTTGAAACACATTAAGGTAAAAATCAACCTGCCTTACAGATAGGAAAGATGTGCATCAGAAATGAGTCTTACTAAGGATCTTTCCTCACAATTTACTACTAGCTTGTTTCACCATTCTACTTCACGGGATCTTCGATCACATAGAACAGGTTACCATTGTAGTAAATTTCAAGTGGATCTCAAACCCATCTCTCTCGATGCACTTTCTATCACATTGCGTGACAGACCCTTAGTGAACTGATATGTCAGATTGTTAGCCGTGTGAATATAGTCCAACGCTATTACTCTGGAGTTTCTCAATTTTCTGACAGATTTTAGTCGTCTCTTAATATGTCTTGTGGACTTCATGTTATCCTTAGAACTGTTAACCTTTGTAATCACAATATGGTTATCATAGTTCATAGAAATAGCCGGTATGGGTTTTTCAACAACCGGTAAATCCATAAGTAGATCACGAAGCCACTCAGCCTCAGATCCAACAGTGTCTAATGCTGTGAGTTCTGCTTCCATTGTAGACTTCGTTAAGATAGTCTGCTTGCAAGACTTTCAGGAAACAGTGCCACCTTCAAGCAAAAACACATATCCACTTGTGGCATAAAGCTCATCAGCATAAAAAA